AGTTATTCTATTCATGTTTTCATGTCCTGTTTTATGACCACTGACATTAAAAGTATCACTCCTCATTCACCAGTGGCTGCCAGCAAAGTAGGCAATCATTCTTAAACCTTAGTGTGCTGGGTTACTGCAGTAGCCCAATGTTAGGATTATTGGGGTAAAAACAAAAACACACTGTGCAATAAGTCACACAAGATAGAGACAATTTACCACATAAGAAAGCTGAAAGACAAGCAGCTGACAGATGAAAAAGGCATGTGCATGCTGAGCTACCTGTGCTCCTTGTGCTCCAGCAGCTGGCAGTCCCTACAGGTTAAAGTGTCACATGTCTCACAGAAAAGCTTCAGTGGCTCCTGCTTGTGGATGGGGCAAAAAACAGGCCTCTGTCCTGAGGTGCTGACAGACTCTGTAAATTCACACCAGAAGAAGACATCATGAACACTCAGGAAAATAATGATACTGGCAAGGAGTGAAAATGACCACATGGAAAAAAACAAACCAAAACAACACAACTCAATTGAAGCTCAAACAAGACTGCAAAGAAAGAGAAAATAAGACAGAAGCTATAAGAAAATTAGAGATTGGATCCTGTCTCCAGCCTGAGGGGTTCCATCTAATCAATGAGATCTGCAGCACTATTACCATGGCAACAACCAATCAGCTTTACCACAGACACTGCATCTCAGCTACTGTTTGTCTCGTTCAGTCTTTTGTAATGTTAGCCTCACTAAGCAGCAGCCAAAACTTCACTGTAAGAGTCGGAGTCTTACCAGACGCAGCATCAGCATCCTCCTTTGTACGAATTTTGTGGTCCTTTGTGATTTTCACCCTCTGGTGGGCCTCCACACAGGTCTTACACAGCCACTCTCCACACTCCACACAAAACCCTATGGTTCCTGCATTGTCCTCACAACTTGTGCACACCTTGGAAAGACAACACCAATTAGCACCTAAAACAAAGTATCAAAATATGGTGATATCATACTAACATCATAATCTAGTCTTTTTTTTTTTTTTAAACACCGTTTTGTAACAATGTAACATTCTGTGCTACCAAAAAAATAAATAAATAATCCACCATTATAAAACATATTTTGACAAAGCATGAACTATAGCAAATACACCAAAGATATATTAATACAGAATTATTCTCACAGTCACTCTGTTTTGTAGGTAACTGGATAAAACTGGCAATAGTTTACAATTTATTTTTCTAACACTAACATTAAAAATAAGTGAAGGTTTAATCTTGAAAAAGTGTGAATTATACACAACTCTAAAATGTGTTGGGGTATTTAATTCTGAAATGTTGTGGGTCATTTTAGTGGGTCACGAGGTGCAGGAGTGTGGTTTTACTTGCAGCAGTAAAAGAAAACCAATGAATTCAAACAATATTCGGCTTCTTCACTGCAACATAAATCGGCATTTTTAAGTTTTAAGGATGATCTGGTAGTCAAATTTTAAGCTGATGCAGATGTTTTCAAATAATTTAGCCAATAGCTGATTTTTTTTTCTGTTTATGTGCTTTTTTCTTTTTTTTGTGTCATCACTGAAAGATACTCTCATTTGTTTTGACAAATAAATGAAAATTAAAATAATATGATTACAACTAAGTCTTCCACATTAGCATACTGGCAAAATTCCTGCTTGAAGAATCTAAATGACTCTTCGAGACTTGTTTTGGGAGACTGAACTAATGCCATTTTCATATGTTTTTAACGGCACAAGGATGGAAAGCTGGAGTGAAATTAGAACCTTAGGTATAATCCAAGGTATAATCCAGATAAAAATTACCTCGTTTTGATAAGCCATTTGCACTTCCGCGGATCATGTAATGTGCCTCAGTTTTGTCACTTTTGCCAGTTTAAAACAAGAACTAAATAGGATCATTCTGATTCACGTACAGACTTTTAAATATTACCAAACCCAGATTACAAGTACTTTAACTTGAACGCATCTATTTTGTCATGATATGTACAGGACATGTATCAGTTTGACATTCTTGTAACACTGTTTAAGAGTTCTAGTTTTCTTTCTTGACAACCTTTTGATTTTGTCTTTGGTTTATTTTTTCTGTTGTAATCCAGTCTGAATCAGGGATTATGGTAATCCTTGATATTCTGGATCACAATAATTATTATCCTGTTCAAACTAGAGATTTGATATGGATTAAAACAAAATTAGCTGGGTTACCTGATCCTATCTGATTACATGATCCTGTTGTTCCTTTGAACTAGATTTCAGGATTTGATCCTGTCTGATTGGATTAATACTACCAGGTTACTTTTGAACAACTGGACCCTGATAGGGAAAATTTAAAATCCAGCTGATATTTACAACTTCCCTAACATATAAAGATAAAGCTTCTGAAAGGAGCCTTGGTGTTTTTACTTGGCTTTTATCATGTCACAGGTCACAGTGTGGAGTTTGCATGTTCTCCTTGTGCCTGCTTGGCTTTCCTCAAATTTCTTGCCACCGTCCAAAAACACGTGCGTTAACTGGTTAACAGTTACCTGGAAATTCTGAAATGGTTGCAAGTGTCAATGTGAGCATGGATGATTGAATGATCTCTCTCTATTAGTGATGTGATAGACTGATAACCTCTCTAGGGT